CGGCCGTTTATCACGCCGCCCTCACCCCCTCCCCCGCCCGCCTCCACAGCGACCGCCACCGCGTTGGTTTGTCCGCCGCCGCAGTCGGTGACCTTCGGCGACCTTGACGACCCTGACCGGGTGTGACCGCCGGAACAACCTGCACTGGACTGGGGACGGACTCATGACATTACTCAACCTTAAAACCAATGGGCGTAGCCACGCGTACTGAATACCTGAGTCCAATTCCGTTGTGATATCATTTAATAAGATTAGAAGACAAGAATAGCTGATCTACGTAAAATTCGTTGACGCGCGGACCTCAGCAACCCCAGTGTTGGTTGTGTCTCTGGTCAAGCCTGTCATACTGCATGGAAATGCACACTTCCTGTGTCGTCATGTTTGGGCTCAAGGCGCATCGATCGACCGCCAGACAGTGACTGGGGGCCAGTCATAAAACAAGGCCACAATGGTCCCGTCGCCTGTTGACCGGAGCTTGGGACGGGAGAGACGTGCTTCTTTGCATTAATATATGTACAGTGCGCGTGCCCGGCCACCTCTGCGGACAGCTCGGTGATGTTCTGTAGTCAGCAATCATAGCTTTTCTTAAATGTGTCTGGCTGTTTGTATAAATCCTAGTCTCAACGGCCTCATGCTTTCGTTGGAGATCTTTGTTCTCCTCGGTCTATTTTTCTCCACTTCTCAGATTCACCGTTGTGGAACTCATATTGATTTTTGCGTCTCTTTTACATTTGGATGCCTGACTCGTCCTGCCGGAAGTCTTGTAGATTCTGTTCGCCGCCTCACGGTCTATGGTCACGTACCCGTCTGATGTGTGCTTTGAAGGTTGTGTGCTGGGCCTTGACTGTCTGTCTCGGTGTCCCTCGCTGTCTGTACCTGCCCCGATGAAGCAGGCACAGAATGTACAGGCTCATAACTGCTTGCTTGGAAATAATATCCAGTAAACGCATGTGTCCCAGGGATATACAAACTTTCCAAAAGGAGGGTGGGCCAAACCCTTTTCGGAAACTGACCCTTTTTAATATACTACCACGCAGTAAATTTCACTCGAGGTGCATAGACCATCGTACCAGCCGCCGCCCACATCCTACGCCTTTCATTAGCCCGAATGTCATGACCGGCCTGCGCCTATGACTGTGTCATGCCTCTCGTCCTTACGCTGAGATTGTCCGCCCTAAATCCACTGTCCACATTGAACCGCGCCGACCATTTACTGCACCTCCGCGCCACCTTACCAAATGCAGCACTACCGCTTTTATTCTCCACCACTAGGTGGCAGAGCTGTTAATCCGGAGCCTAGTACGGCGTGAACTGATACTTCCAGTACAGCGTTTACTGATTCACTCGTTTTTACTTACACTCCAACATAGACTCAGCAGTGGATAAGGCAGCACCTGCGGTACGGGTCTGACTCAGACTTAAGCTTAAATGAGCGTGATAAACCCGTATTCAAAGATTGTACGAGCCGGGGGCCAAGGCTCGGCCTCATACGAGAATTAAATAAGGCTCACCTCACATTAAAACTTAACAAGAAATGGTTGAGCTGTCTTACCCAACATCGTATTGCATGCATAATGCGTTCATCTTAGTCACCAACTACCTACTACCTAGTCAAAAGTCACAACTAAATAGGACTTTGCTGACGGTCATCATTCACATTTCACACTGGCGGATACAGTCGTCAAGATTGGAGGATAGACTGAAAAGCTTTCATCTGTGGAGCGCCTTCAAATCACACCCTCCGTGATAAGTTTGGGCCATTTATTTTGTACATCAAGCACATCGATGGTGGTTCCTACATTGCTCAACGGATGGATGGTATGCTGTGTCTCTTAAGATTCTTCGTACCATGAAAAGTGAGTATGTTCTCCGTTCTCGTGGAGCAGTAAGGTACTATGTGTTCCCTTCAAAATAACGCTACGCATTTGCCGTTCAATGGAATGCTTATTCGAAATCACACATAGCAGCAAGTGTATCGGTTTTCATGTGAAACAAGCTTTCTAAGAGCAAAACGTGTATTTGTGTTCGCTACTGTTCTCGAGAGAGTTCAGTATTAGCTCGGTTTAAAACTTTCGGGGAACATCAAATGTGCAGAAGCCATGCTCTCCTCTGAGACTGTTCACAACTCTTACTGTTCTCTGCATATTGGAGCGCAAACCGTTTCAAAGTGTATGTATGGTCTGATTTGGATATGACTAACGTAACCGGTCTTCACATTTAGGAATTCAATTATAATTCTGGTCCGGGCAATGACTGCTCGCCTTCATGCAGTAATATGTGATGGCACTGGAGGTGACGATTGTCTATTGCCAACATTCTCCGTGAGGATACTTTTATGAGCATAATTCAATCTGCCTTCAGAACAAAGGGCAAAGCTATCACTCTAACTAAACGCCACTCATCTTGCTGAACTGGTGACTGACGAAGTCACATTTGAATAGTTCATTCCAGCTGTAACATTAACGCTGCATCCCGTAAACCAGGTTAATGTGTGAGCATATTGTTATTCAATCTGAGAATTGAAAGTGCTGTTTCTCCATCAAAGTCGTCCATATGTGACACGGAGGAACGCGGCATGATGAACCGTAGACCTTGTTTCAACAAAGTATATGAACATCCTAGTCCCCTTAAATCTTGATGCGCTGAATGGATGGACGACAGCATGAGATAGAGCGCTCCTACCGGGTGCCAAAGAACATGACAGGGAGAAGTGCCCACCAAAGCAGGAGGTCGCGAGAACGGAGAGTTGGGGAATTTCATACGGCAACTACGCAACAACGTGACTGATGTCAAACATTAGGGTGCCAAACGACTTCTCGACGTTCGGTGTCAGCAGCACTCTGCTGAAGCGCCTCGAAGTCGTAACTCTTTGTATATATATATATATATATATATATATATATATATATATATATATATATGTATATATATATGTATATATTCCTAATGGATCTATTCTTAACGCCTTGGTTCTTCTTTGTGATAACCTCATTCTCGAGGCCATTTTGACCACAATGCCCCATTGTCCTTGTATTTTACTTCGGAGCTTCCATGAAGAGAAGTACATTTGCTTGATCTGCCATCTCTCTATAGTTTTAAATGCTGCCTGTGTGTCTGATTTGAAGCGGTCATCAAAAACAGATCCATTGAATTGCGTTGAGCTAACACCTGAACCTACTGGAAAGAAATCTTTATGCAGCGAAATGGGTCTGGCAATTAAGGTAGGCACAATAGGTGCAATCAGTTGGATCTGAAGGAAGTCAGGTAACTTGGGTGAATGCCTACACCTAACCTGTCTCAAAGATATTGCAAAGGAGAAAACAGTGGTGAGATAGTCATTTTTTACAAGTGACGTGGTGCGCTCTCACCAAGGGCTGCGAAGCTTCATCACCATACGACACTCCGAAAGCTAAGATTACTTGAGATTTGCTAAGAAATCCTTTTATCGTATTCGCGGACAGCATCTCTCTGACCACCAATCTTGCCAGTAGGAACTCAGGCAGCCCACCGAGACAACTACCATGCCCCGCACCGGCCGATCGAGCACCGGCCGCCATCGCGGAATTCCGACCGCGCTGTGGTGAGCCGCTCGGCGCGTGGCCGAACAGCACCAGCCGTCACCAGTCACCAGCCGGGCTGACGGGGACGATCACCAGCGGAGTCACCACCACCACCACGACAAACTGGGACAAAGCCATAGTCGAGTCTGGCCGTCCTAGCAGCGCCACCGGCGGCCGCAGCCGTCACCGCTGATTCAAGTCCGGCTTCCTAGGTGGCAGGCCACGGGAGTGTTCTTCGACGGAGGGAACCAGGCCGTGAAGCTACCATGTTGAAGGCTTTCTATGAAGTTGGCGCGTTAGATGTCGGGGGGGCCAAAATCAAAGCATGCAAGCTTCGATTCGGCCAGGTCACGAATTCGAACTGAGTAGAACACCACGCTTTTCAGGTTTGACGTTGCATCTATGCATGGCTTTTAACGTGAGTGATGCATCAAGACCAATTACAAATATATTGCGGTGGAGTAAGACAAGCCCTCGAATCAACTGTTCTGCCAAATGTACTCATTTGTTGCTTCTTGACCTCCATGCCCGTTTCCCAAAGGCTTTTTGAATGCAATATGACAATGGTTATCCTGCATATGCATCGCCCCAAACACATCACGTCTTAAGTTTGACACCGTCTCATACAATTAAAGTACTTTATGTCGCATTTGATCGACTTCCAACGGTGGCAGACGTCAACATGCACGAGCGTAGCATGTGCCAAAGTCCCAAAGCTATGGAAAAGCTAGCAAAATGCGTCTTTTCCACCACAAGGCAGTCGGCTTGGGGACCACGGCGTGGTTTGCCGGCCAATGCGGAAGCACAGCGCAGTCGGCCGACCGCCGGCCGGTGACGTGGAAATCCCGTAACGTCATCACGGTCCGGCGCCGAAGGGGGATCACCAGCGTCCAGTCGCCGTGCCCCATCCGGACCCGCTGCTGCCAGCCGCCCGGCCAACGCCAGAGGGGCACTCATTCCAGGTCACTGTGTTCTCGGTGCGTCTAGGTGAATGTGGCTCCCCGTGTTTTACAAGAAAACAATCAATGTCGCAAGCTGCACTCGTGGTCACCAGACCTGAGCCCCGGTGACTATGAGCGCTGCCTGAAACATCGAGTTTTGACCATGGAACCAGAGTGGTTGCTGGACTCTCTCCTTCTCCTTGTATGGTTAAAGGTCGATGTGAACAGAGCCTGTACAAAATTGAGCCGTTTTTTAACACGCCCTTAGTGTCGCTTGGTAACCAGATTATCTTTGAGTGACATTACGGAAACTGTGCATGAGCTGAAAGGGCTTCGAGAATTTGGGTTGTGAGAACATGGAGAGCGCTGAGCGTGAAGAGAGGCCCTGAGCGGCCCATGAAAGGCCCCCCACACACCATGACGGATTGCAGCCACGCCCGCCTTATTCTTACTCGCCAAGCCTCGTGACAATGCCAGATTCCGTTCAGGCCGCTTCCCATAAGAACGTTTTAATTTAATGCACTCGCAGACTTGCGCAAGACTGAGCTCATTGCAGTCGCACAATTTCGTCAGACAGCGTATTCACTACGTTCGGTCACTTCCGTTAGGCTGGTTAGTTCCAGCAACGACGTTCTGTGAATGAGATTCGTTTCGGTGTCCGTTGATGTTTCCCAGAACGGATGGCTGATAGTATCATTATGAGTTAACTAGCCTTGGCCAATATATATTAGATACCGTACACCAATCAACATTTTTCAATGCCGCCAGCACGTATAGTGCGAAGACTGAGGTAGTCCTGAGCTCACAAATCTCTGTTTCACTCAAAGCAGCTCTCAATCAAGCGCCATTTCCACCGGCACAACAGGCATCCCGGGCGTCACCAGCCGGTGACGTCATCAGTGACCAGCCTGTGACGTCATTAGTGCTGGCCGAAGGCCGGCAGGCAAGCGGCCGGCTGCCGCTCACAGTCCGGCCCACAGAACACGCCCGTGATCAGACACTCCTTCCCCGGACCGCAGGGCGGACAGGTGGTCACGCACTGGCGGCGGCAGCCGAACCTGCAGCAGCGCTCGCTGCCGCTGCACTGCGCGTCGCTGGTGCAGGCGTCCGGCGCGTCTTGCACGCAGAAGATCCTTTCCTCGATGTCGTTGAGGGGGCACACTCTTTCATTGTCCGGCGGCTGGTAGGCGTCTAGAAACGGACAAAACGGTCAACATAACGGCCAGTAACGTGTGTCATCGGATGCAAAGTCGAATATTGCAGTTAATCATGGCAGCAGCAGCAGTCTGCTCTGAGTTTACTCCAAAACCACCGCAGACCGTCTGCCGGGAACGTTTCAAGCAGCGAGCAATCATCGTATCCCTAAAGCCAGCTAAGGTTAAGGGATATTCTTCAAAGACACTTATTGCCATCCCATCCAGATCAGGGGTGCTCCATCTGCTCGTGGCGAAAATAACAAGATGGAGATGAAACTCCATGTGCCCACTGTCCCAACAAGTCATAACAACGTGAATTGTGCTCTATTCCATCAGCACCATAGTGTTGCGCAGCAAATTGAAACTATCTCGGTATTGTCGCTGTCCTGTAGATGACAGCAGGTAATATCATTTCGTTAGTATGGGGAAGAATGGGACGTGAGGTCGTCCACTATGGGGAAGTGCGGGGTCTCGGGACGCACAGTGAATGAGCCGGGTATCAGAATGCGGAATTCGTAATACTTTGATATAATTCCCGTCACAAGATGATCATTTTGGCGTGGTAATGATTTTCCGGTGTCAGTTTGAGTACCGGGATGCTAAGTTTAACTAGCTAAGACGCCGCATTTCAAGAACTTAGATCCCTTGCACGGTATGAATCTTTATGATCCGGTCCAGTTCGCACATCAGCTCATAGTTTTACGGCATTATTCTGCCAAAAATGGTTTTTAGGTGATCTGCTCGTGCTGTTTTAAACCCAAGTTCATGTTGCCACCAACAATGGGCGGATTTGTTTGAGTGCTGCAAGAAAAACCATCGCAAGCAGCATGGATGTAAAGTAAAAAAACACCAATGACCATTTACCAAATACAACCTTAATTTTTTGCACTATATTCAATTTGCACTCGAAAAGGAGGGATAGCGAGGGACAGCTACCGACGGGAGTCGATGGTCTCCATCAAACATCCGCGGAGATCATCATAGCTCGGTTCGTGACACCCACTCACCCGTCACGGCGACCCCGACCGTCACGAGCATCACCACTGCGACTGCAACACTGGACGGAGTCATGGCTGGTGCTGGTGCTGTTCTGACCGTGCCACCGTACCCCGTTTATATGGTGTCGCCAGAGCGAGCGGACACCTATACCGGGAACGTCTGACCAGTAGCGCCGCCGAGCGGACGAGTTTCTCACTACGTCGGTCGTCGGTTTTCCCGGGCCCTAGAGCCGTTTCAGGTAACTGACCCATTCCACGACAAATCATCGGGTGAAGAGGCGAAGCATGGGACTTTTCAGATTTCGATGAACTGACTGTTGCGGAATTGTCTTGGGCCCTGAATCTCACCGTGCAGCTTTTAAAATCACCAGGGCACTATCGCAAGCGCCATACTGTCATGTAAATTGTTGAGAGGTTAAAAGGCAAAGTTGTCTTTGAGGATCTATAATTCAATTAAGGCGAAATAATAATGGAAAAATTACACATTTATAGTTACCTTTTGAGTATTTTGAATTTTTCAACATTCGGTGGCGTCCACTTTCAACCTCGATGTTATTGCATACCAGGTGACTTACTATGACTTGATTGCACTCACAATGCTGTTTTTATGCGGGAGCAAAGAATAATCAGCTTTCGTGGGGTGACAATCAATATTGGATGTTTAAAGATATTCAGGAACGAAACAGATCTTTGCTCTTTACTCCCTACCAGCGAAAACGAAAATTCACTCTCATGGTTCTATACAACTCACAAGTGCCCACATGAATAAAGTGCCTCACGAACGGGTGCACTACTTTTTGAGCGCACGCCAGGGGACGTGCGGGCACCCTTTACCCATCTAGCCCCTTACCGAACTACTCTTTAACGTGTGAAACAAGGCAATGTGCGTACCTTCGTCTCAAGCATTGAACCATTTCCGGTTTAACTCCATGTCAGATCAGCCTTGATGTCGGGAAACACAGAGTAAAGAAAATTTAGACTCTGGAGCATGGAACCGCATTTCGATTATGAAATACGCATAGATGCGCATACTAACGTTTTGCAACGTGTGTGTTGTGTAGAAAAAGAATATGAAAACGAACAATAACGTGTGGGAAAGGTGAACTGACATCCCAGTGCAAATCGAAAATGATGGCGAAGATATGGGTCCAAAGTGTGAACGTGGCATGTGCATTGAGTAAACTATTAGTTATGCTCAATGTCACTGCCTTAATGGTTTGTTGTCTTTTTGAAATGATGGGAAACATCGCCTGTAAATCGGAAATAACAGTCATGCCCAAACAGAGGTAAGCCGTTGCCGAGAATGAGGGTGATACGTTCACGAATGTTTTAGCTGGTGGGCATTCATCGTCAAACACAAGTGGCACTTAATCAAGCCAGAGCCACGAAACGAAAGACGAGTGAAAGGCCTGGTGTCTAAATAAATATGCACATGCCGGGTGGGATTCCTGTAAGTAAAGCGGTATTCCCCCTCCCCCCTCCCACCCTCACCCCCGAAGTCAAACAAGTTCCCGGAGCTGAGAACAATACCTTAGTGTGAAAACTAAAGATAAATGCTTAAGATCATAACATTTGATATCAAACCGGCATTGGAAGCCACTACAACCTGCTTGACGAGCTAGAGATGCAGTCCGTCATCTTCCGTCGTTTTGCACATCGATAAGGCTACGATCATTACAGCATTACGTGCTTGGATATGACCAGGTCCAAGTCGGGATCATTGCTGCTATGTTTGTTAGGCCTTGCGTGACAATCAACGGGTCTTCTAAAATCTTAGGCAGGGTAAAACATATGTTCGTCATCCTGCTCTCCCGGTGGCGTCATCCCTGTACTCGGCATCCTGTAATAAGATGGCCAGTTTTCCGTGCAGCTCTTCGTTGTAAAGCTGTGCTGGTGTATTCGCTCTCATTCTGTCGCAACCCTCAATAATGTGTCAATTAACTCCGGCATTAGCCGTGCATGGACCGTTCTGCAGAGGTTGGCCAGCGGCCACAGATGTGCATCAGACGGCAGTCGCCACGTCGCTGATGCTGGTCTGCTGTGCTGTCCATGATGTCCCGCCTGCCACTGGCTCCGAGAAAGCCGCGCGCCGGAGCCCCAGAGCCTCAGAACTGGGGGTGCGCCGTTCGCGGCACGGCCGGCCGCCCCTTCTCGGCACTGCGGCCGCTCGGAACAGCACGTCATGTCATGTTGAGCGGGCGCCGCACGGGCGGCAGCGCAACTGCAGGCCTGATAGAGAGGCCTGCTGCTTGTACGGGAGCTGCACTGCGCGCTGGTACCAGACGTGAATTACAAGAGGCTGGTCGCCATGAAATTGCTTGTCTTTTTTTGTTTGTTTTTTTCACACGTGAGCTTGTTGCACTTTCCTGAGATGGCACGCGGAGCCAAGTGATTGAACTGAGCATGTGAGTAGCGGTGGAAGTGGGAAATTCCGTTGAAATAAGGTGCTTTTTTCAATCAAATGTAGTGAGAGTAATTCAACATAGAAACAGAAATTGCTAATTTACAACCCCAATGAATCAGACTGGAACATGATAACGATGACTGCTACTAACAATTGCTATGATGGCTATACCTTATGATAAGTAGTTATATCTGTCTGCTACGTATAGCATGTAAGCCTTTTAATTGAGCGGAAACAACACGCACATCCAGCCAGCTTAGTCCAGAATCCAAACCGCCCACCAGCGCGTTTTTCCTAATCCGGACCGGTTGACATCGGAGCATGGTCTTGGCTTCTTGCCTGCTGGAAATGCACCTTTGCATCTAAGGGAGTGTTTCACATTTGTGTGAGGTTTTGGACTGAACTAGCCGTCTTGAAGATCATTCAGTACCGTACACAGCTCTGCCTTTCTAAAGACCTAAGCCCCTCTAGTTTCTAAGCTGTACGCCAGCGAAGATGTGCAGAGTTCTTCGTGGCAGAATATTTCAAGGTCACCCACGCGTCCATGAGGCTATGATAACGTCACTCAAATACTGTCCTTCCATTGGCTGTGCGGCGATCAAGGCCAGTACAAATATAATTATCGAGTTCTTCATATCCAGGTTCGTAAGTACGATTTCCAGATGGAACGGCGGCCAGATCGCTCTCAATTTATGTGGCACAAGACACCATGGCGAATTATACAATGAAGTATTGACGAACATAGTTACTAAATAGAGAAATTTGTTGCCTGGAGCAGTCTTTTTCCCATAAGGTATACCAATGGTTACACGTGAGACTATTTCATCATATTTGATGCTCGCCCCAATATCCCCAAAAGTGGAACATTGCCCTTAACATGAAACACAAACAAGACCCATGATCATGTGTCCCACACACTTCGCCACGCAACTATTGACCGGGGAGACGGCAAAAGACCTAATGGGATGATATTCCCGTTCGACCATGGTCGGAGCCTGGCATGGGATGCCACATGCACCAATTATCATCCTTTACGTGACAGACACTGGCGCCGCAGATTAAGAAGCCAAATGCAGAAAGAACAGAAAATACTCGAACCTCACTTCATGGTTTCCTTTCCAACCAGTCGCCTTTCAAACCGGCGGAGCCTTGGCCCAACGACAAGAAAGTTTGTCAAAAATCTTGGGGCTGGGCTGATTTTCTCGCCAGGCGATAGGTAACAGAGTGCTCGTCTGCGGCAGTGTCTGGCTATTGCCATAGTCCGAGGAAACGCAGCCTCATTGCCTTTCATTTCATTCAGCTTTGAAAAAGGACTTGTGCACGCTCATCACAAAGACGGCATGGCGCGACAGCCTGCAGCATCGCCAAAAAAGTGCTACGAACACCGAGTCTCCCGAGAATGGGATTGGCGGTAGAGCGCGGCCTGCGGCACGGTCATTCGGCCTTACGAGCCCTCAGAACATCGACAGTACGTGCTTCATGAACGCGGTACGGCAATGCCTGAGCAACACCCGCGGCCTGCATGACTACATCCTGCGGGACGATGCTCGAGAGGTATTACCACAACCCCCTCCGTCTTTGCGGGACTGCTTTGAACTTTCCACCATCCAGATGCTAGCAGCGCTGACAGTGTTCCAAGAACTTCCGTATCTGAGGTTCCCACGCATACCCGTAGTGCACTTGAAACGGTTCTTGCTGCAGCAAGATCAAACCAGAGACAAGCTGATTGACAAAATAGAGACTGCTGTTGTCTTCTCCGCCAGTAGTATGGACCTGATCGTCCCGCTCTGCCGTAATGTTAGGCTGCAAGTACAGCATGTACAGCGTGACCAACCTTTCTCGCGTAATGCACGCGGGCCACTACATAGCCCAGTATAAATACCCGTTTTCAGAGGGTGACACCAGTATAATGACACTAGAGTCCAGCCCATTGGTATGCGCCTCGTCAACGCTGTGAACCATGCATGACATTCGATCTGGCCAATCCCTGACCTGATGCTGACCTACACGCCGTAACTCGAGAGGGCGACGTATGTTGCCATGGCGATGCTCGCCTGTGCTCCCGCCAGCTGCTCGCCTTTGCATGCCGCTTTTGGTGGTGTTTCCGCGACCGACTTAACAGCTGCGTTAAGAAATCAGAGTATAATGTGGAAAAAACGTGGAACTTCAGTGGCGGCCGGTCACAAAGCACCGCCAACCGAATTGGCTTCAAAGAAAACGTTTCGGACGACAGCTGTTATCATTTTTCACCGCGGTCCATAAGTGACACATGCTATGAACACCCCTGGCGGCACAGGGCAGGAGTGGATCTCCTGCTACACTCATGATCCTGCTGACGGTGTTGCCTTTGGCTGTCGGCTCTCAGTTTACAGTCCTGACTGCCTGTCCGTGCATGTCTGCATCAATTCATGATGCTATTTGTTTATGACCAGCTTGTGCCTGAAAGACAAACCGAGATTAAATAGTCTGCCTGGGCGTTTAAACTGCTTATGGTGCGGCTCGATATGCAGTGTTGACGTAAAATGAGTGCCGGTGACATGCATGAGAGCCGCGCCAGTTGTGGGCCGCCAGGCTGCATTTTTCCACGATAGACAAACGTTTCTGTGCCATGAAAAATTTCGACACGACCAGCGCAGTTACTGTTCGCCTCATACGTGCCACTTTTGTCGCAA